CTTAATGTGTAAACGAGTTAGACCTTTTTGTTGTAACCAAGTGTTAAAAAGGCCCCTCAAAAAATAATTCAACTAGTTACCAAACAATAGAAAAAAGAGATTGATGTTTAATTATTAATTGGACAAATCTATATTGTAGTTAACTAAATTATTCATTGAAAATAATATGATAGATAAATTTGATTAAATAAGCTTAGTTAGTAATTTTGTTGTTAAAAATGTAAGAAAAGTAATATTTAAGTGATATTTTGTTGTATTTAGATTAATTTGGATGGATCAATGGCTTTATTTTTCATTTGGTTTTTTTTTTTTCCCCATTTGTTGTATATTGAGTCTTCCTAAGCCATGAAATAACAAAGTCAAATTATTTTATTTTATTTTTGTCTTTTTGAGTTCTTATAATGATTTGCTAAGATCTTAATCTATGTATGCAAATTTTGGTAATCATATTCAAACAATCTCTGTGTGGGTACTAATAAATAAATAAATAAATAATTGTGGGTAATTCCAATCACAGTGGCTTAGCACCCGTAAAGCAGGTCCTATTGAATAATCCAAATTTTTAATCGATGACATTGCAGTCAAGAAGATTAAAATTTGCAAAGCTAAAAGGGTTGGATTGTGCATCACCCAAAGCATAAACAATAGCACTTGAGTCTTAATAAAAGTTTTGCAAAGCACATGCAATTATATATATATATATATAGAAGGACAAGGGGTGGTCAATTTTACATTATTATTCCATGCCAAAATAAAATTTTAAAAGTACCAAATTTGTGTTCTCCATCTAGGAACCTCCAGGGCCCCCATATAGTACCAGATGCCCGATGTGAGCCCCCTGGTATCCTTCATCTTTCACTTCATACAATTTTCTATTGCTTGTAAACACATATGTTTGAGGATTTATATCCCCTCCACTTGGACTCTTAAGTGCAATATTCCTGAAGTATGCATCATAGCTGGTGTCCTCAATTAGAAAATGACCTCCCCCCATTGCAGGTTTCGGGGTGCCCGGTGGACTAAATACCTCTCCTCCCCATTCAGCATGTGAAGCTAAGTTTGCTAATCCGCCACCAAGTATTCTCTTTGGCCAAAATCCAAGATTGGTATTTGCAACTCCAAGCCACCAGTTTCCATTAGCTAGATCCTATATATTTTTACATGGATATCAAAATTGAATAATTGAACAGAAGAACGCAAATTCTATTTCTTTACCACTAATTACTTAATTATGATTTTTGTTTCATAATTATTGGTGTAATAATTATTTGACACAATAGTAGCATGACTTGGGAACTTGTGATTTGCCAATACAGTGGTCTAGGTGTGGACTTCATGTATATTAAGAGTTTTCAAATTTTACCTGCAAGATGTAGATTTCCAACTCAATTGGTGTCTCTCCAGGTATAGAGACCTCTTCAATTACTGAACCAAGAGGTATATCTGTGTCCACAATCACAAATCCAGGACAATTTGTATTGAAACAATGAGATTGACCTGCCTGTTTGGTAGACAAACATATATGAATATATTGTAAGAGCTACCAAGAAAATATAGTCAATCGAGTAATATGCAATAAAAAACAATGATACTTACATTCGTATATATGAATAGTCGAGTACGTGCGTCACCAAACAGAGATGGATCCACCTTGTGCCCTAACTGTAAGATTTAATGTTTAGTGTTTTTGGTTGTGTAGATTCAAGCCTTGTAAACAATCAAACAATCACATCTGCAAGTAAAATTATTATCAAAAGTTTGCCTAAAACTTTCAACAAGATGAGGCTAAACATATAGCTTCAAAAAATGAGGACTAGAATCAATTTATAGGATCAAAAAATGTGGTTAGAGTGTTTTATGTGTGTGTTCAGCTTATTCAAGAAGGTGATTCATAGAAACAAATAAAACCAAATATAGAAAACAAGCAATAGTGCAAAACTAATATTGTGAAGCTATATTATGAGTTTTGAAAATAGTTTTGGGATGATTTGTAATTTTGTTTTGTTTTTTGATTGATTGATGTAAAAAATGTGAGAGAATGTGAGAAGTGAGAGAGAAAAAGTGATTGATTAATAATAAAAGAAAAGAAAAGAAAAGCGAGAAGTTTTGAAAGTAATTTTGAGTTGTATTTTAAAAATATATTTGGTTAACAAGTTGCATTTAAATCATGATTTATAAACAGAGTTGGGTTTTGAAACGTAAACCAAACACTATCATAATCTCTCCATGTGGGCTTGAGATTTACATGGGCTTTAACAAATATTTGGGCCATCCTTCACATACGAGGGAAACTCAACCCAACAAACATATATATATATATACGCTCGTACTTTTTTTTGTTGGTTTTTTCCCCCTCTTTTCATTCAAAAAAGGCATCGTGCCCTAACTGTAAGATTTAATGTTTAGTGTTTTTGGTTGTGTAGATTCAAGCCTTGTAAACAATCAAACAATCACATCTGCAAGTAAAATTATTATCAAAAGTTTGCCTAAAACTTTCAACAAGATGAGGCTAAACATATAGCTTCAAAAAATGAGGACTAGAATCAATTTATAGGATCAAAAAATGTGGTTAGAGTGTTTTATGTGTGTGTTCAGCTTATTCAAGAAGGTGATTCATAGAAACAAATAAAACCAAATATAGAAAACAAGCAATAGTGCAAAACTAATATTGTGAAGCTATATTATGAGTTTTGAAAATAGTTTTGGGATGATTTGTAATTTTGTTTTGTTTTTTGATTGATTGATGTAAAAAATGTGAGAGAATGTGAGAAGTGAGAGAGAAAAAGTGATTGATTAATAATAAAAGAAAAGAAAAGCGAGGAGTTTTGAAAGTAATTTTGAGTTTTATTTTAAAAATATATTTGGTTAACAAGTTGAATTCAAATCATGATTTAAAAATAGAGTTGAGTTTTGAAAAGTAAACCAAATGCTACTATAATCTCTCCTTGTGCGCTTGAGACTTACGTGGGCTTTAACAAATATTTGGGCCATCCTTCACATATGAGGGAAACCCAACCCAACAAACATATATATATATACACTCGTACTTTTTTTTTGGTTGATTTTTTCCCCCTCTTTTCATTCAAAAAAGGCATTGTGCCCTAACTGTAAGATTTAATGTTTAGTGTTTTTGGTTGTGTAGATTCAAGCCTTGTAAACAATCAAACAATCACATCTGCAAGTAAAATTATTATCAAAAGTTTGCCTAAAACTTTCAACAAGATGAGGCTAAACATATAGCTTCAAAAAATGAGAACTAGAATCAATTTATAGGATCAAAAAATGTGGTTAGAGTGTTTTATGTGTGTGTTCAGCTCATTCAAGAAGGTGATTCATAGAAACAAATAAAACCAAATATAGAAAACAAGCAATAGTGCAAAACTAATATTGTGAAGCTATATAATGTTAATTGACTAGGATAACTTACATCAGCACCACCAGTGTCATCTGCAGGAGTCATTATTTTTGAAGCAAGTTTCTCTCTAATGAGATCTTCTTTAGTAGTTCTTCTAATTGGAACTGTTCCAACCGGGCAACCCCCACCCTTTAGTCCTATATTTAGAGGTTTGCTAACGTTTGAGGAAACTTGATCTCTTGATCTCTTAGGTAATGAAGTGGGCTTCATCTGCAATTCAACTCAATTCGAAAAAGGTGAAGGAGACTTGCACATAAATTGATCACATACTGGATTATAAAAAACTCACAAGAGTTGGATTCTACGGTTGGGTACGTGCATGTCTTGTTTTCTATGAGCCTCATAGAGTTATTAGTGTTGGGTGCGTGTATCAAATTTTGTACGATCCATATTGTATTTTGTGTTAGGTTGTTAAATCAAGAGTTCACTAGTAATTCAATGTGTAGGGTTTTATTAATTGTATAGGACTAACATTTCTATGGTTTGCCTATAAATATGAATCTTCTCTACACTCTCCTCTCGTTTATTGATGCTTGTCCCAAAATTATATTTTATCTATTGGATTTGATCAATACAATTATTCCCTTCGCCAATAAAAAGAAGTATTGTAGAGGTGTGAGATTGAGAGGGTTTGTAAAGATGTAGGGGATATGAAAAAATTCCGGGGACAATGATAGTGAGTAAGTAAGCACGTGTAGCTTCTAGAATCAGTTAATCTTAAGTAGGGAAATGTGTAGAGTTTCAAGACTTCGGTATTGGTGTCAGATTTTAAAGGTTTTTGGTTTTATTGTTGTACACGCTATGATTCATAGTATATTTCTCTTTTGTATGCAAATCTTTGTGATTTTTAATCTTTAGTGTGTGCATATGGATGTGTTTCCATTTGAATTTAGGATGTGCAATAATCCCAGCACCTATTGTGTGAACTACAATGTTCTGTGATTTATTTTGTGCTTATAAAGTGTTGAATAAATAATTAAGTAGCCTTCAATTATGTGTTGGAGATAAGAGGATGTATTGAGACAAACCTGAAAATGAAAAGTGTGGTTCTTCAGTAAAGGATGATCAAATGCAGGTTGTTTGTAGAAATCCACGCAATCATATATATCTCCATAATTATTCTGTAAATGTTACAATCTTTCTATTAATTTTTATATACAATTGTTCAATTCATGAAAAGTTCACAATTTTCTCCAAAAATAATAATAACATATTATGTATTCTCAAGTTTAGAACGTCAAATTAGATGGTTGTAATTCAAGACAGCCATGATATTAGGCCTAAGATGCCTATTAATCTTTGCCATTTGATTTTCATAGAAAATTTAACTGGACAATATTGGAATTGAATGTCCTCAAAACTAGTCCCAAGACATCCTAGGAAACCGGCTCAACTTAAATTTTTATTTATTATATTTGAGACAATAGTTTATTGATAGATACGTGTCAACAACTTTATGTTCCGATTTAAAATTGAAGAGAGATTTTTTTAACCCAATAAATAATTTTTAATTAAAAAAATTAGTTTAATATTTTATTGTTAATTTGGTATAAATTTAATTCATTCAACATTAGAGACAAAAGGATCCCATGCCGTACATAGAGATTGTGTTTGCTTGGGATTGTCCCTATATATCCTTTATATGGTTGATTATTAAGTTCCATAAGAGGTAGATACAAAAGAAGACATTAAGTATGGGATATGATTGATTCTTGAGCTCTACAGGGTGATGAGATACCAAATGAGAGATTAAGAAGGGTCTGCATTAGTAAAAACACCAAAATATTCTCCCATTATGGTCATTATACTACGTATGTATGTCTAGTGTGATTCCAGACAAACATGGGATATGACAAGATTTTACCAATTTCGCAATCCATGAATTTCAAACTGGGATAATATATGCAATTGATAATATCAACATCAATTATGAAAGTCTATTAATCAAATATAATTTACTCCCATGAAACATAGCAAAATTGAACTAAGACTGTGTTTGGATTTTAGATTTATATATGAATTTGAAAAGAGAAATAGAAACATGAGTGAAAAATGAATCAAATATAATTATACTTTATCTAACTATTCCATTTCTCTATCTAAATTCATGATCCAAACGCAGTCTAAATGTTTCCAATAATATGTGAGAATAAATACTTGTATAGTCTTGACTGCCGGCTTGTTGAGATGCTTAAGTCGCTCCTCCAACTCCAAATCTTCTTCTTTAGTTAAACTCCTCCAGTCTCCTTCAATTCCATTGTGTCCCACAAGGTGAGAGCATACACACAGAAACAATACAATAGCACGTAAGTCCATGAGATGATCTGGAAAATAATAAAAAAGCATAGTTAGTGATCAAAAATCACAACAATCATGCTATAATTATTTAAGGCAATTAATGAAATTACAATCATACTATACCTATACACATAAGGTTCACATATTTTATTTTTGAACAAAATATATTAATAGTCCTTAAAGTATGCGTTTATTGTCATTTTGGTTTTTCAAGTTTTAATTTTGTTAATTTCATTATTGAAATTTCAATTTGAGTCAATTTGTTCCAATTCTAAGTGTACCTTCTAAATAGCTAACGGAATGGTAATAAAATACACACATGTTCTTTAAAGTATATGTTTCTTGTCACTCGTATCACTTTGATTCTTGAAGTTTTTAATTTTGTCAATTTGGTCATGAAACATTAATGAAGAAAATAAAACATAACCATACAATATTAAAGGACGAAATTGATAAAATTGATACTTGAGATACCAATATGACACAAAATGTACACTTTTAGGACCATAGTAAAATTTATAATTATTTTTTCTTAACGATTTAAACATCCATTTTGAAATTATATTAATTTGACTCATATTGACAATTTTGAAGCAAAATGACAATTTTTTTTTTTGATCTGCTAGAATCAATTATTAGTTATTAGATTAGTACCTTTAGAAGTTAGCCTTCTCAACCTTTGTAAATTCAACTCTCCCCAAGAAGAGTTAAATTAGGATATTTAATCTAATAGTTGTATAGACATCACTGGTAATCTTGATAGAGAAGTTGGGCTTGATAGATTGGTTGTAAATAACTCTCTTATATTCCCCAAAAAAACCCCTTAAAATTATAATAATTAAATTTATTTCCAATGAAGTAATTTATTTAAGAATTAATGAATTAAAAACTCAATCTCTTGCATTACTCCAATTTAATTTTAGTTGAAAACTGAAAATATCAATTTGACTGGATTGATGGCTAACCATTGGGTTTTTTATGGAGAAAATTATACCAATGAGGCGATAAATTTATAATATAGGAAAATTCGTTTTAAATTAGATAGTCTTATCAAAGTAACTTATTATTTTAAAATGTCATTGTCATATTATTTTAATTAAATTATTTATGTAAAATTTATTTTTTTAAATCGATTTCTTAAATTTATTTTAATAAGAGTGCGATAGAGAATTATTATTTATTTATTTTTGATGACTTGGTAACCTCCAATTTCATTGTTTAAAAACAAATGGTCGAATTAAAGTATGGACTAACCCAAAAAATTGTTTGGGGCAAGGAGATTTTGAACTTCAGAACATAGAGAGAGCACATCCCCATTTCCTCGGCCTTGACTACCAGGCCAACTCCTTAGGTAGTGTTTCATTCATTGGAATGATTAAAGTGGAATGAAATTATCATTTTATCAAAATATTCATTCATTTGTTTGATTAAATTAAAAAAATAATAACAAACACATTACAAATAGAATTACCTTTCACAATTTTAAATAAATAGTCATTCCATATGAAAGTCTATGGAATTACAATTCATTTTAACAAACCAAAAATAGAGCATAATGGTTTGCAATATTCTATTATGAAGTGAGTAAAAAAGACATGTCAAACTGCTAAACCAAAGTAAATCAAATAACAATGAAAATGAACAGACAAATTAAACAGGAAAAATTGAGTAAATTTACAAACGCACATACAAAAATCAAGGCATAATTTGTTTAAAGTAATGATTGCCATATAAAAAAAATGCAAGTGGGAATAATGTATATTATTTGTAAATAATTGAAGGAAAATACAATAATTTTTTTTTTAATTTTATTTTTTTGAGTTTAGTAAAAATGGATTTAAATGTACTAATTTTACAACTATTAAGCATGAATTAACACAGTTTTCTGTTAACAAAGAACACTTGTAGGGAGAGAGATGTTGTGAAATGTAGCTTTGCTTAATTGAATGACAAACATTTATTTAATTTTTCACTCTTTAATTTGGAATTCAGACTAAAACATCTTCGCATTTGAAGGAAGTTATAGAAATTTCTATTTAAAATTAACAAATTATTAACTAGGAAAAAATATAATGCCATAAATCAAAAACAAATACCTGAAAGACAGTAAACTTCTATCACAAGAATGATTTTGAGACCTCAATACACATGGGAATGGGAATGGGAATGGGAATGGGAATGGGAATGGGAATGGGAATGGGAATGGGAATGGGAATGGGAATGGGAATGGGAATGGGAATGGGAATGGGAATGGGAATGGGAATGGGAATGGGAATGGGAATGGGAATGGGAATGGGAATGGGAATGGGAATGGGAATGGGAATGGGAATGGGAATGGGAATGGGAATGTGTGTGGTTCAAATATATATACTAGTAAAAGAAGCCGATGTCTAGCAATGCCCATTATTATTATGGTTAATGCTAATAAATGTCTCTGAGGTATTTGATTAGCAATGCCCATTATTATTATGGTTAATGCTAATAAATGTCTCTGAGGTATTTGATTAGCAATGCCCATTATTATTATGGTTAATGCTAATAAATGTCTCTGAGGTATTTGATTAGCAATGCCCATTATTATTATGGTTAATGCTAATAAATGTCTCTGAGGTATTTGATTAGCAATGCCCATTATTATTATGGTTAATGCTAATAAATGTCTCTGGGGTATTTGATAAGATGTGGTTAAAAAAAAATATTATAGTTCTCAAATTTTCCACCAAATAAATGACTAAATGTCTCATGTGGACCCCACACTCATGTGAGATATTTCATCATTTGTTTGGTAAAAATTATTTGTATCGATAAAAATGAATAGTAAGAGTTATTTTAAATATAATATTGATTATAAATATGTTTCGATTAAAGGGTTATCGTTATCCAATTAAATTAGTTTTTATAATTATATTGTACACGATATAGTCTAAAAAATAAATACTTCCAATTATTAAAATAAGAATCGGAGTGAGTCTCACCGTGAGCACAACAGTGCTAGTAGTGCTTGACATATACAACAGGCATCCTATTTTTTTTTAATTTATTTTTTATCAGGACAATAGGCACAATAGGCACCCTAATTCTATTAAATAGGATAGTATTGATTTTTATTATTAATGCACATTTAATATTATATTAAATTTTCTTGAATTTAGTAATTTTCTATTTTTAATCTATTAATTAAAGGTAAATTACACTCCATAGTCATGTGCTTATAAAATTATTATTTTTATTAAAGATTTATATAGTAGAGTAATAAAAGGAAGATATTGACAATTGATTAAAAATGCAAGAGTTGACTGTCATAATTTCATGTGTAGAGATCAAAGTGAGATTTGGTATAAAATATAGGGGTGCAAAGTGTAATTTATTCATTAATTAAATTAGATGCATGTAATAGTTTTGTATTTTTAACCTATTATTTAAAATTGAACAAATTCCAAGAATCATGAAATAAAGTATTATTGGTTGCTGCTTATCACGTGCCCGAGAAGCACTTGGTAATTGTGAAATAATCACAATTTTTTAATAATTTTTTTTACTGAATAATGCATCTATAATGATTTGGCAAGGGAGTTGGGTTTTATATTATTGGATTTGTAACAAATCAAAATTGACACAGGATACTATATCATTGTGAGTATAAATTTTTTTTTGTCAGTCTTAAACATTTTCTTTTACCAAAATAATCTATTCCCAACAGATCAATAATACACCATATATGATGTTCAAATGCACCATCGAATGCAAGTTAAATGCATCCTTTAATCTTTGTACGTAATGCCTGTTGGAAAACAGATCTTGGGATTTGAATATTTGTTTTATAATATTGTTATTGCCTGCAGGCTGCCCAGTGTAACGTTGAAGGAAGTGAAAACGCATTTACATTGTTAACAAGCAAATGCAAACCTAATTTGTTGAACTTATCAACTTGTTTTGTTGTTTCATGGAGTGGATTAGGGTGGTTTTAATATGGAATTTCTAAATTCTCTTTGAAAGGTTATAGTTGATCAATTATGGATTAATTTTTGTTAACTGTTAGTAAATTTGTTTGATTGAAGTTCTTCATTAGAACATGATTCAATGTAATGCCCATTTTTTTTTTCTGGGTGTTATTGTTAGCTATACATTTTGTAAAAACCAGTTACAATCCGACACGTGGCAGAATAAGGGTATTATTGGAAAATAATTTAAGTCTTCAATCCTGATCGTACACGTGGTGATGATAATTGGTTCTCACATGGTCTGAGCAACATTGGAACGCAAGGTGACGTGGCTTCAACGGTTATTCATATTCAAATTCAAATACAGGAGGGAAGCCTAACTGCAAATGATGGCATAATGGAGCTACTTCTAAGGCAACATGATCAGCGATCATGGAGGAGCAGTTCGACGGTTCGAAGAGCAGTTCGAAGGTCATCTTTGACAAGTATAAATAGCAAAGAGACCCCCAAGAAAAAGGACCGAACTCAGATCATACAAATCAGTCATTTACTTCATATATTTTCTTTTCCAGTCTTTAAATACCTGCACTTTAAATACCCGCACTGCACTTCGATTCATAGGAGTAGCTTCAAGTAGATTCAAGTAGATTGCTGTTGTAAACCTCTCCGAGGCTGAGTTCGGACCATTGTAAGTGTTCATTTTTATGAAATACTTCAATTGTTCTTCATATTACAGTTTTCTCTCTTAATTTCTCCTAAGTCAAGCCACCATGAATATGAGAGCGAGGAAGTGGTAAGCAATCAAAGACACTTGATTTCAATATTTCTTGTTATTTTCCTTATCTTAGGAGTAGTGACAATTTTGAAGTCCTCTTCGTTGAGGCAAAAGAACCGTCAACACAATCGCTTGATAATTGGCTTGAATTTAATCTGTAAGGATTTTTCAATCCTTGCTGGCACGCTCGCATTTATGATATTTTCCTTCGTAGGAAAAATAAGCCAACATATATTTTTTGGCACGCCCAGTGGGACTTAATTAAAAATGGCTAGAAGAAGACGACAAGGAGAAAATGAACGCTTGGAAGAAGGCGTGGAAGGAGAGGTAGAAATACCAAATCCAGAGGATAATGTGGTAACACATCCTGTGGAAACTCCTATATTGTCAGAACCTATGGTCGAACAGACCAGTACTTCTAGACAAGAACCATATGTTCATAATATTGGACGAAACCAAGGAATTGGACCATCCACTGTGCCGTTTACTCAACCAACAAATCCATGGGATGGTTTAGTAGATGCCATGGGACAACAATTAATGAACACAATGGAAAGGTGGGCGACATCCTTTTTGGATCGAATGAATAACCACCAACCAACAAACACAAGACACATGGAGGAAGTCGTAAATGTTCCCCAACAAAGATTGGCTAGGGAAAAACAGCCTATGCAAGTTAATGGACAGTATAATGGTCAAATTAGTACCCAAAACTTTGAAAGACCATCACCTCAGTCTTGGTACGAACCCATTTCAAGGCCTATAGCAGGCCAAAATGCCTCAGTACTTAATAATGAAGCCACACAAGTTGGTAGATCTGGTCAAATACAAGAAACTGGCATAAGAATGGTTACAAATCCCATGTTCGAAGCCATACCTGGCACAAGAGGGTACACTAATCCCTTATTCGAATTTACACCCGGGGGGTTGGAGGGTTTTCCTACAAATGACAGAGACACAACACCTGTTCCAGCACCTTTTGCAGGTCCTTTCGCAGGTCATGCTCAAAGAGGTTACCCATACCTTCAACGGCAACCTGCACCGCAAGGATAACCAGCCCCAAATTTACCACCTTATGGACCAAGAGGACCACAAGCACAGGTTTGTCCATCAAATCCTGTGTTTGCCCCTCTAGTAGTGGTTCGGCAGGCACAAAATATGGTCCCTAAGGACCAAATTGTTGACATTGTTAGAAAGATGTGTGGACCAATGGCTCGGGGGGTCCAAACTCCAGTGTATAGGAAATCGTACCCAGAATGGGTGGATAGGGTACATGAATACCCAAGGGGATTCAGGATACCAGATTTTACCCTTTTTTATGGGACTGGAAATCAATCAACGATAGAACATATTGCCAGGTTTGCTGCTCAATGCGGTGAATTCACTAACCATGATTATATGAAACTGAGATTATTTCCAAATTCCCTAACAGGGGGAGCATTTGTATGGTACATCAACCTTACACCTGGCTCCATTCAAAATTGGCAACAAATGGAAGAGGCATTTCATGCCCAATTCTTCCAATCGGAGCCAGAGGTTTCCATGGCAGACCTGGCAAGGTTGAGTCAAAGGCCTGAAGAGAAGGTTGCTCAGTTTATTGCCAGATTTAAAAGGGCTCGAAATAAATGTAGAGTCATCCTGCCAGAGCCAGAATTCGTCAGATTGGCTCAAAATGGTTTGGAATTCAGGCTTCGAAAGAAGTTTGATTCAACTGAATTCAGAGATTTGGTCGAACTGACCTATAAGGTGTCTCGATATGAAGCATTATTAGAAGAGGAACAAGATCGAAATAATGCATCATATAAGACATATTATAGAGATCCTAATTATGAAATAGATGCAGCAGAAATTGTAGGCAAAGAACCCGTAATCTGTGAAGCATTAATTCATAAGGATACAACTATAGACCAGCAGTTTAAAAAGAAAGACTTTCACAGAAAATACTCTTTCGATTTAACAAAAGCAGATGACATCTTTGATTATTTGCTCGCGGCTAACTTCCTTAAGTTACCAAAAGGAGTAAAACTACCATCTCCAGATGAACTGAAAGGAAAAGTATACTGTAAATGGCATAATTCTTGGTCTCACTCGACTAAAAACTGCATTGTTTTTCGAGACAGGATCCAAGAACAGATTCGAAAAGGAAGTTTGAAGTTCCCAGCTAAAACAGAAAAAGCTATGGGAATTGACAACGATCCCTTTCCAGAAGTTGGAGAGGCAGCAGCCAATGTCATTACATCAGACTTCCAGAACTTGTCCTTGACAGAATTAGAGGAAGTCAACGTGCAGATGCATGTTGCTAATCAAACCAACATCAAGAGGAATACTAGAAGCCCACCAGAGTTGGAAGAGGTCAACGTGCAAATGCATACTGCCAACCAGATAACTGCTAAGAAGGAAACTAGAAACCCACCAGCTATTGGACAAGGTTTCTCACATCAGAAGGAGCAATCTGACGAAGAAGCACTAGATGACAACTCCTTGGAAGCAGCGATGATGCAGAGAATGTGCCCCAGGTGCAGACTCAGTTACAAGTGGTTGAAGGGGCTTCTAACTGATGGGAAGCAATACTACAGGGATGTTTAGAGACGTCCTAAGTCAACCAATGCTTACAACAAAAGGCCGTATCCGGCTAGTGATAGGCAGAGACCACCAGTGGTTGAGCCTGTGGTGAACAGAATGCATGACAAAGGCAAGAAGCTCTTGCATGAATCCAGGCCACATAACTATTATAGAATGGAGAGTAGCCATTCTGAAAGAAAACTGGAGAGGGGTTCAGTTCATGGAATCAAAGCCAGAGATTGGCCCCTTAGACCAGTTTCACGCAGGACAGAAAATGGTCACCCTTATCGAAGGTCTGAATCAGACTCAAAACATGAAGACAAAACCAAGCACTTACCTTCACGGCCAGTTTCGAAGATGGCTTCGAAGGTGGAAAAGGGCAGTTCAGCGCCTGAATCAGTAAGTTCATGGGTACTTGGAGTCCCAGACTGGTTTGTAATGCAAAACAAACCTAGAGAATTGCCTGTTCAAGGAGATGTTGTAAACCAAGGCAGGATGATCAAGCCTCCTATAGTGGCTCCGAATAACTGGGTGCTGCTTAAACACCCAAAGACGAGGGAACCAGACATGGTCCCAGTCATCTCAAGATCACAGAGGAGAAAAATTCAGCGCAGGTACACCCAGTACCAGAAAGATCTTTCTTCACCAGTCAAAACAGAAGGAAGGAAGAACCCAAAGTCAGACCATGCTCCAAAGCCGGTTCCACAGAGCAAAGTGGTCTGCAGCCGAGAACAGTTGGCCAAGGTTCATTCTGAACTGAAAACCAGAGAGAAGGCTAGTTTGGCAGGGTTGGAGAAAGCTCTGATGGAGACAGATAGCGAGACCGAAGAAGAAATTGGCATAAGCCAGAAGAAAGAGGTCGTGGAGGAAGAGATGTTCGAAGCCTTCATGGCTGAACAAACGTTTCTGACTGAAGAGCCAGTTGAGAAAGATCCTTCGAAGGGATCAGTTAGCAATGAAATACCAGAATGCATCATGCAGGATGTTTCTGAGGAAGTCGATCAAAGTGACCAAGAGGGGAAACAGGTACAGCCAGCCATCCAGTTTGGCTCGTTTCCCTCAGTATCAGTGAACATGGTACACATACCACCACAGGAATTCCAAGCTGGAGATGAGAATCAAGAGGGGCAGGAAGCTGATCCAGTTCAGATCTCTAGTGAAGACTCACAAGTAAGTATGGTGCAAGATAATTTCGAAATGATTACCCCGATGGAAGATGAATATGAGAGCGAGGAAGTGGTAAGCATCAACCTATCGTATCCATTCGAGTATCCCTCGAATTCCATGTCACAACATGTTCAGCCTTTGTACATCAAGGCTTTCTTCGATGGGATACAACTGAATCGAGTCCTAATAAACAATGGGGCAGCAGTAAACTTGTTGCCAAAATCTTCTTTGAAGAAACTAGGAAAGAAGAATCCCAGGTTGATACCAACCAGCACAACCATCGCTGGTTTTGCTGGAGATAAGCAAATGGCTCAGAGGATTCTACCCATTAATTTAAGTGTAGAAACCAGGGATTGCATGACAGCATTCTTCGTAATCGACAGTAATGCTAAATATAATGCTTTACTTGGAAGGGATTGGATCCACACTAACAAATGTGTGCCTTCTTCTTTGCATCAGAAGATCATGATGGCTTTAGGCAATGGAGAGACAGAGGAAATCGATGCAGATCCTCAACCCTTCATAGCCTGTGCAGACTTTGCGGAGGCTAAATTGTATATTGAGGGAGTGACACCGCTCAGTATACTGATGAAAGATGACAGTTCAGCCGAAGTGACGGCTGATGAGGAAGTGACACACTTGAAGCACTTAGTCCAAGAAAGTGCTGATGAAGAGGTCGTTCTAAAGGATGACAATGATGCCTGGTTATAGGCAAAGAAGTGAAAAGCAAGAAGCCACATCCTTGGCTCTGATTAAATTCTCAACATTGGATGTAGAAGCTATAGTCCAGAGAGTACAGGAGCAAGAAAGAGAGGCCATGATACTCGGCTGCAAGCAGAAACAGCAACAGGTCAGAATTTTGACCCTTGGGAAATATTGTGCATTGGACATTGAGACAAAAGTCCAGGAGCTATAGGAGGAGGATGCCTTATGGACAGATTTTGTCTATGAGGAGGAGGGCAAGGATGTTGAACTAAAGAACCTAGGAGCAGAACAAAGCAAGAAGGCTACTTCGAAGGTTGAAAGAATCAAGGAAGAAGCTTTGGTGAGTCCTCAGGCACAAGACCCTTTAGAAGAAGTAAATCTAGGGGAAGGTTCTGTACAACAGCCCACTTATATAAGTGCTTGTTTGAATGCACTGGACAGAAATCAGCTATTGGTTGTTCTGAAGAAATACAAAGATTGCTTTGCATGGTCTTATAATGAACTACCAGGATTGGATAGGTCATTAGTGGAACATAGGCTCCCCATGAAGCCTAATTTCAAGCCTTACAAGCAGAAACCAAGGAGGATGAGTCCAGAAGTAATTCAGAAGGTCAAGGAAGAAATCCTTAGACTCCTCAAGGCAGGTTTTATTAGAACAGCCTGGTATGTCGAGTGGCTATCTAATATTGTGCCTGTAGTCAAGAAGAATGGCAAAATTAGGGTATGTATCGATTTCAGAAATTTAAATCTGGCAACTCCCAAAGATGAGTACCCTATGCCCATAGTGGACTTGCTGGTGGACAGTTCAGCAGGTCACCAAGTCTTGTCAATGATGGATGGGCATTCCGGCTATAACCAAATCTGCATTGCAGAGGAAGATATCCACAAGACAGCATTCAGATGTCCTAGGGGAATACATTCGGCCCTCTTTTGAATGGCGTTAAAATGCCATTTGGTCTAAAGAATGCTGGAGCTACATTATCAAAGAGCCATGAACACTATCTTTCATGATCTTATTGGAGGATATTTGGAATGTTTTATTATGATGCATTGTGTTAAATCCCAATCCATGGAAGAGCACACTGTTTCACTTAGAAGCAGCCTTTTGAAAAGAATGAGAAGGTTCAAATTAAAGCTCAACCCTCTTAAATGTGCCTTTGGCGTATCATCTGGAAACTTCTTGGGTTATGTGGTACACAAAAAGGTGAATACAGATTGACCAGAACAAAGCCAAAGCCATCATTGCAGCCGAGGCCTCCATCAAGTAAGAAAGAATTGCAGAAGTTCCTTGGACAGGTTAACTTTCTTCGAAGGTTTATTTCTAACACTGCAGGAAAAACTAAAGTATTTTTCTTCCTTGTAAGCGCTGAAAAGCCTGAAGAAGAATTCGTGTGGTAGCAGAGCATCAAATTGCTTTCGAAGGTATCAAAAGCCTCTCTTGGCTAACCCTCACAGTGCTGATGCCACCAAAGGGGAACAAGCCCTTGAAAGCTGTAACATAGCTGCAGCAGAGGATTCATTGGGAGCTTTCTTGCCAGAAAACGAAGAAGGCAAGGAGCAAGCTATTTATTACCTTAGTAGTTTTTAAATTCTTGTGAATGTAAATATTCAGCTGTTGAAAAGCTGTGTCTTGCTTTGTATTTTCGCTGCAATAAATTAAGATATTATCTTTTGCCT